GAGTAAGCATGTAACATAAGCCTATTGACTTGAGATAAATGTATTTTAGCAATACAATGGCTCTTTTTACTATTTAGAATCTCTCTCTGTCTCCACTTTCTTTATTTTAGTGCACAGAGACCTGAAGCCGCACAATATCCTCATCTCCATGCCGAATGCCCACGGAAAGGTCAAAGCCATGATTTCCGACTTTGGCCTCTGCAAGAAGCTTGCAGTGGGCAGGCACAGTTTCAGCCGTCGGTCTGGGGTCCCAGGCACTGAAGGCTGGATTGCTCCAGAGATACTGAGTGAGGACTGCAAAGAGAACCCGGTAAGTCGCCTGCACTTCTTAGGACTTGAGCCTGGGATATATCTGGTTTTCAAAATGGTGACATATCAGAAGCTAAATACTGCGATATGTTGATCATGATGTCTGGAATGTATCTCAGCTGCTTCTTCCTCCCCATCTCCTGGAGAAGCCACATGGCCTGTCATGTACTCCCCTTCATCTTTTAAACTAAGCTTGAGGTTTATAGACTTCAGTACTGGAATAAATTATTTTAAAAAACACAACAACCACCTGCAGCAGATTTGGCAGAGTTATCTGACCAGTACACTATGAGTGAGACAAGGGAGTTAGATATATCTGGTCCTTGAGTTCTGAGTTATTATAATTAAAAGTTGTATACCTGTAGGTCTCATCCAAAGGTGCAAAAAAGTACTTTATGTTTCTGCCAATAACTTGCATACTTTCATTTGCTGTTACATTTCAATCTCTCTTTTAAAATGCTTCTCTTTACAGACACACACAGTGGATATTTTTTCAGCTGGATGTGTCTTCTACTACGTGATCTCTGAAGGCAACCATCCATTTGGCAAATCCCTGCAGCGGCAAGCCAACATTTTGCTGGGTGCCTACAGCCTAGACTTCCTCAATCTAGAGAAGCATGGTAAGCAAACAGAGACATTTTCCATTATTGTGAAGCTCTGCACTTCTGTTGTTTCCGAAATAAATGTATATTTATACCTAGAGAAAATACAACCATAGCATTCAAGAGTTGTTAGATAGAGTAGGAGACTTAGAGTTCAAATGGAAACTGAACTTTGCTTGTGGAACTTCACAAAGTTGCATAGACTCTTCTGTATACATATTTCTTTCTCTTTTTTTTCAACAGAGGACATAGTTGCTCGTGACTTGATAGAGCAAATGATAAGTACAGATGCTCAGAAGCGTCCTTCGGCTAACTGTGTACTAAAGCATCCATTTTTCTGGAGTTTGGAAAAGCAACTTCAGTTTTTCCAGGTGAGTCGCAGCCCTTTGGTCTGCTATTTTAATTTCACAAGCTTAAATCTGTACTGGATTATATACACTGAAATACTACATTTCAGAACCCTATATTGCACTGCATTTGGGCCTGAGGCTGCTTTGGAGTGATGATTGTGCTGAGGGAGCTGCAGTCACTAAGCTTGGGGCTGCTGGAGAACTAGACTTCTGCCATTTCTGGAACCTTTTACTCAACATAGGAATCTGCCTTATACCAAGTCAGGCTATTTGCCCATCTACAGCAGCTCTCCAGGGTTTCAGACAGAGAGAGTCTCTTCCAGAAAATGCTGAAGCGGGAATCTCTGCTGGGGGGGGGGGACGACACACATAATTCTGGAGCCGAATTTCAACAGGCCGTAAATGTGTGTTGTCGATTTCAGGATGTGAGTGATCGAATAGAAAAAGAATCCTTGGATGGTCCAATAGTAAAGGAGCTAGAGAAAGGAGGCAGAGCAGTGGTGAACATGGACTGGCGGGAGCACATCACGGTCCCTCTGCAGACAGGTGAGACTTCAGTTTATTACCTTCATATAGAACTTGTTGGGGACGCGGGTGGCGCTGTGGGTAAAAGCCTCAGCGCCTAGGGCTTGCCAATCGAAAGGTCGGCGGTTCGAATCCCCGCGGTGGGGTGTGCTCCCGTTGCTCGGTCCCAGCACCTGCCAACCTAGCAGTTCGAAAGCACCCCTGGGTGCAAGTAGATAAATAGGGACCGCTTACTGGCGGGAAGGTAAACGGCGTTTCCGTGTGCTGCGCTGGCTCACCAGATGCGGCTTTGTCATGCTGGCCACGTGACCCGGAAGTGTCTCCGGACAGCGCTGGCCCCCGGCCTCTTAAGTGAGATGGGCGCACAACCCTAGAGTCTGTCAAGACTGGCCCGTACGGGCAGGGGTCCCTTTACCTTTTATAGAACTTGTTGGGGCTACTTAAGACTTACTGGTCACTCTTCCACTAAATAGTGAAGAAGCACTTGCAAAAGCAAAAACCACTTGTTTATTTCTTTTTCTTTTGTGGCACCCGGCTACCAAGAGGAAAGAAATGGGCTGCTTGGCTTGAGTTTTTAATCATTCCAGTTTTACTTCTTGCAGATCTTCGAAGATTCCGATCCTATAAAGGCGGCTCAGTAAGAGATCTCCTGCGGGCAATGAGAAACAAGGTATGTGAATTCTGAGAAGCCGACTGCATAAATACCATTGAAAGCATGTTTTTGGGGTTGGAGCAGCTGGGTCATGGCACTTGGCCTCCTCATGCACCAAGGAGGTTTGGTGCCTGAGGTGAAGCCCTTGTTGGCTGGTGGCACGCTGTGCCATTGGAGTGACCTGCCTGCCCAACATCCTGCAAGGCCAGCTCTGCAGGGCTCACCGGGGGCTGTGTGCTCTTGCGTCCTTCTCATGGTGTCCTGCAGCTGAAGGGTGGCTGAGAGGCTCGCAGAGCGTTGTGAGGAATGCACTCTACCCACCCCCGCCCAGCAGGGTAGAGTGTGTTAACCACACTTGCCAGGTTCTGCCCACCACAGGGCTCCTTCCTTGAAAATGTTGGGAAGGCCAAATTCCCCTCACCACCACCAGATGTAGGCCTGGGCGATTGCCCAGGACGAGTATGAGGGGCTGACTGCAATGATGGCTTCACTCAGCTGTGTATTGCAAGTGAAACTGCCACCTCTTGAGTCCCTATGTAGTGTAGTGGTTAAGAGCGGTAGACTCGTAATCTGGTGAAGCGGGTTCGATTCCCCGCATGCCCTTGCCTCAGCTAAACAGTTTTACGGGAACCCCGACAATGCGGGCTCTGTTTGACATTCCCTCCCAAGGCAGGCCAGCACATGCTTGTCTTGGCACAAGGACTGGAGTGGGCTCAGCCAGGCAGTGCTGCTGGCGGGCCAGTGCTTGCCAGCAGCCCTGCTCCGCAAGGCACAGACAGGGTGACTTTGCACCCTGCGGTCTTCACCTGGGAAGGTGGGCTGCATCTTTTTCCTCTAGATGTATTTATTCCCCCTGGGAGGAAAGAGACAGCACGGGCAAAGGCAGTCAAACACACGGAGCCCTAATATCCCAGCTGCTCAATCAGCAGGGACATTGGGGCTCACTCAGCTAGCGGGCAGGAGCCTTTTCTCCACCCAACCGAGCAGCAGGCTGGGGCAAAAGCGCTCCAGCTCCTGCGGTGAGAGCCAACACAGTTTCGCCCCGCGGATTATTGCCAAACCGTGATCTTGAAAGCCTAACATTGCCCAGCCCTCATCACCAACACCACTGCTGCAGGGCACATTCACACTGCCCTGGCAGCTCTGCGAGGCTGGGGTTGGACCGAACGATCGCAGCCTTGCAAAGCGGCATGGTGGGCACACTCACGTGGAGGAGAGGCTGCGGCTAGCTGAAGGCATTGGGCCATCATGTGAGGGATCTGCTGGAGCTCAGTGAAGGAAAGGGGCTGCCACAGTGTCTCCACTGCGTCTGCCCCCAGGTCACTCCCTCCTTGGTGGGCAGTGGCGGCTGGCGGCTTCACCTGGCAGCATATTGCAGGTGAAACCAATGCCGCTTCTGAGTACCTCTGCTACCAGGACCGCTAGGAGCAGCATCAGTTTCACCTGTGATACATTACCGGGTGAAGCTGGCATTGTGCTCTGCCCCTCATACTGCAGAGAGAGGTGCAAGCTGCATCACCAGGCTGATACAGCTTGTTCCTCCCTAGGCTTCTTCAAACTGCTCTGCTGAGGCACCCATGTGTTCCTCAGCAGAGCAGTTTAAATGGGGCTGTGAGCCGTGTGGTGTAGTGGTTAAGAGCAGTAGACTCGTAATCTGGTGAACCGGGTTCGCATCTCCGCTCCTCCGCATGCAGCTGCTGGGTGACCTTGGGCTAGTCACACTTCTCTGAAGTCTCTCAGCCCCACTCACCTCACAGAGTGTGTGTTGTGGGGGAGGAAGGGAAAGGAGAATGTTAGCTGCTTTGAGACTCCTTTGGGTAGTGCTAAAGCGGGATATCAAATTCAAACTCCTCTTCTTCTTCTAAAAGCCCAGGGTAGGGACTTCATTAGCCTGCTCTCGTGAGCCCCGATGCCTCGAGCCAGAAGGACATCAGGGCTCACTCAGCTGGGAACAAGCTGCACTGTTCCTGCGAGGAGCCTGGTTTGAGGCAGCCTATTCCTTCCACCTCATCGGTCTGGGGCCAGTGCAGCTTGTTCCCAACATCAGGGTGTATCGCCAGATTGCAGTGTTTGGCTGGTGATACATTGCGATGTTGAAAACCTGACACAGGCCTGGCCCTGTGGCTCCGGCCTCGAGGGTGCCTGGGGCCATGCCTCTCCAACCCCTCTGAAAAATTGAATACCTTGTGATTCTGCCTTCTTTTCCTTCCAGAAACACCACTATAGAGAACTTCCGCCCGAGGTGCAGGAAACCCTTGGTTCCGTCCCAGATGACTTTGTACGTTACTTCACCTTGCGGTTCCCTCACCTCCTCCTGCACACCTACCATGCTATGCAAATCTGCCGCCAGGAAAGACTGTTCCAGCCTTATTATATGCAGGACTCAAGCAGCCACGTTCTTTCTGCAGGTGGTGTTTGAGAGCCGGAGACTCTTTGTTCTTTGCACAAACAGGGCTGTGAAACAGGCCTGTCCTTAGCAGGGTGACTTGAGGGATCGTCAGAGAGTTGAAAATCCTCTTTGAGAGACCCGGACTTATCAAACGTGCCTTGAACTCTCTGCCTGCTCTGACTCAGGAAAAAGGGGCTCCGGGTAGGAATCCAAAGAAGATGCAGTAACTTGCAGAAAGCTTTATCCTACAGAAGTCGGGAGCAGTGGAAAGGAAATTCCTAAGAGGAAAAGTGAAAGGGAGGATCTAAAACAGCTCAGCTTGGCACAAGCAACATTATTCTCAATGCCTACACTGTTTGCTCTTTACATACCGGCATTCAAGCCACTTTACTGCACAGAACAGCAAAAAGACAGACTGAAACCGTAACATTGCCAAGCCCCTTATGGATCTCAGGAAGGAGCCTTTTAAGTGTAGCACACCATTTCCAGCCACTTTTGTTCCACTGCCATGTTGTGCACTTGAAGCAACCAGGGACCCTGATTTTTAATGGGAAGTGGCAGATTCAGCAAAATGAATGCAATGGTTCAGCGAAGAGGCTAGCCCTCCAAATACTAGTTTTAAAATAGTTTTGTGTAGACATAAAATTATCCTTGAACTCGCCAACTGGAAGCATCAGTCCAAATACTAATAGCTGACAAATACAGAAGGATTGGCATGCTACGGTGTTACAAATCCAGAAACCTTCTGGACCAAGGTTTGGCTTTGGCTATAGTGCTGGAAATCCCTAATTCCTTTAGAGAAATCCGTTCAGATGTCATTTCTGGTTTCTTTCCAAGAATGTGACTAGCTTAATAGTGTGATTTAGATGCAACAGTTGACACAGCTAGAAACGCTCCTTAATTTTATTTGTAAATCTTAAGTTGTTTAGCTAGAGAAAACAGAGCTGGCGGTTTAAAAAGGTACAGGAAAACCTGTATTTTTAAAATTTTTAGAAACTCAGTCTCTTGGGAAGCTATGAAGAGAGAGAGGCATCTGCTTCCCATCTCGAAGGATGCAGTTTCCCTTTTCAGTGTCCCTAAAACAGTGATGTACAGGGCATGTGCAGAAAGCATTAAGAATTCCCACTGATGTGCTCTCCAATATTTGTAGTATTTTACCAAAAATATTTATTTTACATATTTATATTTATTTAATTTTTACTTACAAAGTGGTACCACTTTGAAATGGTACAAGTGTAAAACATGCCAAATCTTTTTTAAAAATAATAAAAATAGTAAGTGAATAAACAAAAAAAGAAAATCCACTCTGGTGCAGTAATCTTTTTTAAATTTTTTTAGGTTGACAAGGAAAAGGTATACTGCATCTTTTCAACCAAGCATATTCATTAGATCAGGATAAAATGTTCTCTCACATAAGGAAGTTTTTAATCTGTGTGGCTGTAATCTCTCTGTGTCTTAAAATGAATAAGTTATTAATGGTTAATTATATGATTGGGCATTGGTATGGGTATTTGGTTTTTCTGCTTTGTCTTTTGTCCTCATCATTTTTGGGCCTTACATTACAGGGAAATGGGTTTTTTTTTCTAGTTTTATAATGCAACAGCAGATATCAAGGTAAGATATGCAAATATGGACGTTACAGGATGTGAACGCTTGAAAATGATGGTGGTCTTAACCTAACTTAATTGAAAAATCATATTTCCTATTTTTGTAGCTCTACTGTACAGTACTTTTATATTTCTTCTAAATAAGAAATTTACACAAAAATTAAAAGTAGATTTTGAAACAGTTGTATGGTGTCCTTTCATTTTAAAATGGCGTGCATATGATCGGGCAAATTCATGGAGAATAAGACTATCAATGACTATGACTAGAGGCAGTAATGCTTCTAAATACCAGAGTGCTTGGATTCTGGCTCGCTTGTTTCCCCCCAGGCATCTGTTTGGCCACTGCAAGAACCAGGATACTGGTCTTGACAAGTCACAGGCCTGACCCGGCAGACTTTCCTTATATCATTTTTTTTAAAAAAAGTAATTTTAAAATTAATTTTAACATATAAATTATAATACATACCACAAAACTTCACATCTTATACAATCTATTTTTGGACTTCCATCAGCACCTCTGATGATCCACCATTCTATCACTTCTTCTGCATTTCTTTAATTCATTCATATCGCCTTTAATTATCATAACTAACCATCCTCCCCTTTATCCATTTTTGCAATAATTCGAATAATTCACCTCACAAAACTTCTTGCAAACCTACAAACGTAATCTGATCATCACAATTACTTTTCAAATAGTCCGTAAATTTACGCCAGTCTTCTGTGAATCTCTGGTCCCTCAGATTTCAAATTCTTCCGGTTAATTTATCTAATTCTGCATAGGACTTTCCTTATATCATATTCATATCTGTGTGTATTGTGTGGCTCTTCAATCCAAGAGCCCTGTCTACAAGATTCGGGGCTGGAAGAGTAAAAGCTAGAAAACTGGAAGTGTGCCAGCTTACTGTTCCACACAACAGCTCTATGGCAAGAACACACCAGGAAGGCGAAAGTGCCAATTGACTACCCTTCTGTGGAGAGTTACAATTATATAACTCTGCAATTACGGCTTTTAATTCCCCACCCCCCAAACAATAAGCAGAACTAAATGAAAAATAAATGCTGGTGTGTGCATACATACAACCCCCCCCCCATGCAAGTCACATAACGCAACTGTTTGCCACATGAAGATGGCCAACACAGGGAATGTAGCAGGCCTTACCTTTGCTTGATTTATGTCCAAGTAGAATAGCTGCAGATGGTTTTCTGATGCACCTGCTGGGGCTTCTGAGAGTTGAGATGAAGCAATAGTGCTGCCGGAATCATCTGTGACCCATGAGATCAGGACGTTATAAAAAGACGCTGCAAGAAGAATAGATATGATAGCGGATCCGTTCCCCGTGGTGCAGATGGAAAGAGAAACCTTAGCCTGCATCAGACCCTACCCCAGTGTTTCTCAACCTGTGGGTCCCCAGATGTTGTTGGACTACAACTCCCAGCATTCCTAGCCAGCATGACCAATGGTCAGGGATGATGGGAGTTGTAGTCCAACAGCATTTGGGGACCCACAGGTTGAGAACCGCTGCCCTACCACCTGGTCTGTGTAGCAGCTGATAGACCATAATATGTCTGTGCAGGGCAGTTTTAGAGTGTTAGCGCAGGTTTAGGGAAGGACCGAAATAAAAGTTTCACTGTACAGTGGTACCTCGGATTACATATGCTTCAGGTTACATACGCTAACCCAGAAATAGTACCTCTGGTTAAGAACTTTGCTTCAGGGTAAGAACAGAAATCGTGCTCCGGCGGCGTGGCAGCAGCAGGAGGCCCCATTAGCTAAAGTGGTGCTTCAGGTTAAGAACAGTTTCAGGTTAAGAACAGACCTCCAGAACAAATTAAGTACTTAACCCGAGGTACCACTGTACTGTATTCTCCGACTTTGGCTGTGTACACAACCAGACTTTCAAAGCATATCCGCTCCCTCAATAATTCTGGGAACTTAGTTCACAGACCTACAAGTGCTAGCACCCTTCATAAGCTACAATCCCCAGGTTTCTTGAAGGTGTATGTGCTTCAAAAGTCTCCTATAATAATAATAATTATTATTATTATTATTATTATGTATGCAACCAGTAAATATATACAATTCATAATAGTAATGTATGCAACCAGAATGGGAAACGAGCTATACATGAGGCAGAATGCCCTACCATCCACAAGGAGGCAGTAACAAGGACAGCCTGTCAAAATACAGAAGTACAGTTCTTTTCTACTTCAAATTAGAACTATAAATGGTTTCAGTAGAAATAAAGGCATTGGATAGGGCAGGAAGAAGAGGGAAGTGCTTCTGGGAGAACTGTTACTCCACTTCAACTCAGAGTATTCAAACTGCAAAGGCTAGTGGCTGATGCAAATGAATATTGTTATGAGTTTGGAGTGTTAAGCTGGGTGCCAGACCCCTCTAAATCCTGGATGCAGCGAGTGTTAAAAGCTAATCGGGACAGACTAGCTTCCTGAACCCCTGGATCCAGCAAGTGTTAAACTATTAAGTCAGGCTAGCTTCCTGATGAGGTAAGGGGGGCTCATGGCAGATGATACAAGCCAGAGTAGAGAGTAGACAGGAAATGCTGGGGGGGGGGGGACAGAGAGCAAAATGTTTGATTTCTGTATGAATCCAAGGCTGCAGCTATGGGAGAAAGAAGACCCTTTTGGGGTGTTCATGCTGCAAACAGTTCCATCATAGCTTCAGGTGGTAAAGGTAAAGGGACCCCTGACCATTAGGTCCAGTCGTGGCTGACTCTGGGTTGCGGCGCTCATCTCACTTTATTGGACGAGGGAGCCGGCATACAGCTTCTGGGTCATGTGGCCAGCATGACTAAGCCGCTTCTGGCGAACCAGAGCAGCGCACGGAAATGCCGTTTACCTTCCTGCCAGAGCGGTACCTATTTATCTACAGTTGTACCTCGGGTTACATACGCTTCAGGTTACATACGTTTCAGGTTACAGACTCCGCTAACCCAGAAATAGTACCTCGGGTTAAGAACTTTGCTTCAGGATGAGAACAGAAATCGTGCTCCAGCGGTGTGGCAGCAGCAGGAGGCTCCATTAGCTAAAGTGGTGCTTCAGGTTAAGAACAGTTTCAGGTTAAGAACGGACCTCCGGAACGAATTAAGTACTTAACCCAAGGTACCACTGTACTTGCACTTTGACATGCTTTCGAACTGCTAGGTTGGCAGGAGCAGGGACCGAGCAATTGGGAGCTCACCCCGTTGCGGGGATTCAAACCGCCGACCTTCTGATCAGCAAGCCGTAGCCTCAGTGGTTTAGACCACAGCGCCACCCACATCCTTCGGCTCAGGTTGTATATATGTGTAAATAAACCATGTATCATGACACCACAGTCTCTGCAGTGCCTCATTTCCAAAGGGAAACGAGAACCCTGGGTAAGCGTCTGGAACCCCTGAAATCTTGCACCGCTCAGGAATTGGGTGGCACGCGACAATATCTATCCCCACAAATGAGTCAGAATGAATGCTCAATAAAGAGTGGACTTAGTCCACTGTGTGCGGGACGCGGGTGGCGCTGTGGGTAAAAGCCTCAGCGCCTAGGGCTTGCCAATCGAAAGGTCGGCGGTTCGAATCCCCGCGGCGGGGTGCGCTCCCGTTGCTCGGTCCCAGTGCCTGCCAACCTAGCAGTTCGAAAGCACCCCCGGGTGCAAGTAGATAAATAGGGACCGCTTACTAGCGGGAAGGTAAACGGCGTTTCCGTGTGCGGCTCTGGCTCGCCAGAGCAGCGATGTCACACTGGCCACGTGACCCGGAAGTGTCTCCGGACAGCACTGGCCCCTGGCCTTTTGCGTGAGATGGGCGCACAACCCCCGAGTCTGGCAAGACTGGCCCGTATGGGCAGGGGTACCTTTACCTTTACCTTTAGTCCACTGTGTAAACTTTGTGAAAGCAAAACAGGATGCTCATGAAACAGGTTGCCTAGAGGAGCCCAGTAACCAAAGTTGGCTTTTTAGAAGGCGCGCGCGCACATGCAATTGGCAGTGGGCAGGCAGCTTTAGCAAAGGCCCCATTTCACCAAATCATGGGGGAGACTAGTAAGTGAAGGATGAGCGGTTGCCTGCACAGGCAGCTGCAGAAGATAATGTTTGCTGGCCTTTTTCATCCTCTGCTACTCCCTACTCTGCTCTCTGGGGAGCAGTTTCTGTTGCTATGTAACTGCATATGAAACTACAATGAGTCATAACTGAGAAGGATATTGGGTCAGGGTGGAGCTAGTGGAAGCACAGCTGTTTTATCAAGTCAGGTGTTATGAAACGCTGTTATGACAGCCATGACTGTGCTTTTATTTTGCTCTCTGCTAAACAAAGAAATGAATATATAAAACTACACAACATGGGACATATTAATGGTCTATCTAGCCTATCTAGATGGTCTATCTAGCCTGGTACTGTGTCTCCAACAATGGCCAGTTCTAAGCAATGGATGCTGCACATTCCATTTCCTGTTGAAAACATGCACTCAGTGGCACAAGATCCATTATTATGTATTAAATTGCTATACAGCCCTATACCAACAGGTCTCAGGGTGGTTCACAGTGAATCCTCAGGGCAATTGCAGAGAACCCCCAGGACAGTGCTTGGGAGGAAGAGAGAGGACTGTTCCATCTGTTCCAAAATGGCTGCTCTGACTGAACAATCAGTGAGATTCAATACATTGAATTCCTCCCAAAAACTGCAACAGCATCAACAAATAAACAAAAATAAGCAAACTGTTGTTTAAAACATTATCATTAATAACAACCATAAAACCATATGGACAATAGCACTAAACTTTAATACGCAACAACACTAAAAACGTGCTATCAGAAGCTCCAATTTTAAAATGTCAAACAGAATAAAACAGTCAAGATCTTGTTGGAAAGCTGGCCCTCGGCCCCAAAAGAAATAAATAACCAAACTTTGAATAAGTAGCATAGCAACCAAACCAGAGGTTCCCAGTCAATCAGAAGCTCAGCTGGCCAGAACCTTCCATAATTTCAGTACCCACAGCATTGCTGTTTATTAAGCAGGCCGCCATATTGAATTGGAGCTAGCCTCAGCTAGATAACAAAGGTGAACTGAATCAATGACCTCATCCCCCTTAATAAAAGCCACATTTCCTACCATAAACCAATTAGCCAGTTACCCAGGGGCTTGCAGAAACCCAGCATGCATACCCTCCAACATATTATTATTATTATTATTATTATTATTATTATTCCACATCGCCCCATCTGACTGGATTGCTTCAGCCACTGCACACTGACAAAGCACAAGTAGAAGAACAGCCCTCTAAGATAACACAGAACTCCCCCCCCCCAATTTAGTTCATATCTTCCGTGTGCCAAATACAGTATGTTCCCTACCTGTGAGCCACAGCCCTTCCCTTCTGCCATTCAACGACTGGATGAAACAGGCCTAGCAATTACTCATTCATCAAATAGCCATCTCCACCCTGTTGATGAAAAGCTCGCGGGAAAATAATGCTCGCTCTCAGAAATGCCATCAATCATAACAAAAAATGACTATGTTATAGATCTGTTATCAACAAGTTAACGAGAACAATTACCTCATGAAAAGAAAGAAAACTAGGATATACAACCTACTGATCCCTGTGTACACACCATACATTTACAGCACACACCCACAATATTGGGAACTATAGTTTAGCCACACAGAGCTCCAACTCCCAGCACCCTTAACAAACTACAGTTCCGGGGTGGGGGGAGAATGTGCTTTAAATGAATGGTGTGGACACAGCTAGGTCAGTTACACTGAATTGTATTTATAAACGTAGGGAAGAAAACTGTCCCTAGTTCTGAGACTGTACCATTTTGCACTTGCTGATAGTACAAATAGATGCCTTTTCACCAGGGGCGGAGGAAGGGGGTGCAGTAGGTGCGGTTCGCCCTGGGTGTCACCACTGATTCTGGGCGGCACTCAGCGTGGGGCCTGCAGCGTGCCTGAGCCACGCATCTCTCCTGGGAGAGACACGGTGGCTTGGGCGTGTGCAGGCTCACGCTGCCCAAACGGTCCGCCCGCTGCCTCTCCCCCCCCCCAGCTGTAGAGCAGCTGAGTGGGAGGAGGCAGGCAGACTCTGGAGACCCCACGGTGCACCCCGCTCCATGGGCAGCTTACCCTGCCCCAGGGCAAGCTGCCCCTGGCGCCCGAGCAGCTTCCTCCACCGCTGCTTTTCATCCCTCCTTTTCAGGTGAACCAAAGTTTGAATTGTCTGCAACTTGTGCAGCATTTTATTCTCCCCACCACACCCCAAATCCATAGAAATAAATTCGTTTCCTCTAACTTTTGCTGGAAAACAGAGAGACAGGCAGAGAAGGGCATACAGGCATACCTCATGTTACGTTTGCTTCAGGTTGCGCGCTTTCAGGTTGCGTCCCGTGGTGACCCGGAAGTAACGGAACGGGTAACTTCCAGGTTTCGCTGCTCGCGCATGCGCAGACACAGAAATTACGTCACATGCACGTGCAGAAGCGGCAAATCGCGACCCACGCATGTGCAGACGTGGGTTGCATTCTTTTCAGGTTGCAAACGGGCCTCCGAACGGATCCCATTCGCAACCAGAGGTACCACTGTATTCTGCATATTCCCAAACCCATCAAATCCCCCATCAAATATGTTAACAGTAACAATTTCTCTTCCGTTTCCTGCCATTTGGGGTTCGGGTGGCGCTGTGGGTTAAACCACAGAGCCTAGGACTTGCCGATCAGAAGGTCGGTGGTTCGAATCCCTGCGACGGGGTGAGCTCCTGTTGCTCGGTCCCTGCTCCTGCCAACCTAGCAGTTTGAAAGCACGTCAAAGTGCAAGTAGGTAAATCAGTACCACTCCGGCGGGAAGGTAAATGCCGTTTCCGTGCGCTGCTCTGGTTCGCCAGAAGCGGCTTAGTCATGCTGGCCACATGACCCGGAAGCTGTACACCAGCTCCCTCGGCCAGTAAAGCGAGATGAGCGCCGCAACCCCAGTCGGCCACGACTGGACCTAATGGTCAGGGGTCCCTTTACCTTTAAGTGGAGACTTGGTCTCCTTTCAAGCTCCCCTGCCCCCTGGCAGCAAATCAATAAAGGCAGCCCTCACTCTAGGAGCAAACCAGATGGGGGAGCGAAAAAGGTGTCATGGCCTTTACCAAAGTTGTCATGGGCTTTGAAGATGTTCAAACTTGGGGGAAACGCGCTAAGAGGAAGGCATGCTTGGCAAACCCTCAACGTGATCAACTCCTGCCTGGAAACCTATGTCCTCACTGGGCAAGGATACATGGATTCAGAATTGGCCTCCACAGTCACTTCTGGACTCACTGTTAAGACCGTGTTTATGGAAGACAATCTTACTTGGCTACAAGCGATCGCCAAAAGAGGAGGAGGTGGTATGCTTTTCAATATGTGCTCCAACCTTTGTTGGCATTGCCCACATATACTTCTGAGCAGTGCCGGATTTACATATAAGCTAAACAAGCTATAGCTTAGGGCCCCACTCTCTTGGGGGGCCACCAAAAAATTTAAAGGGGGGAAAAACTGGGTGTACTTTGATAAAATACATACAGTGGTGCCCCGCAAGACGAATGCCTCGCAAGATGAAAAACCCGCTAGACGAAAGGGTTTTCCGTTTTTGAGTTGCTTCGCAAGACGATTTTCCCTATGGGCTTGCTTCGCAAGACGGAAACGTCTTGCGAGTCTTGCGATTTTTTTCGCCCCCCCTTTTCTAAGCCGCTAAGCCGCTAATAGCCTTTTAGCCGCTAAGCCTTTAACAGCCGCTAAGCCGCTAAACCGCTAATAGCGCTAATCCGCTAATAGGGTTGCTTCGCAAGACGAAAAAAACGCTAGACGAAGAGACTCACGGAACGGATTATTTTCGTCTTGCGAGGCACCACTGTATTTTGTAATGTGCAAATGGCTCTAGATAACTATTAGGTCCATAAATTACCATACAGCATTTATTAAAAACAAAACAAAACAGCGGCAATTTGTTGTTGACAAAGGACAGCTGGACATACAAAGGGCTCCATTACCTTCAGCAGCTTAGGGCCTCATCAAACCTAAATCCGGCCCTGCTTCTGCATAAATTCAGCCATGCAAAAAAGAGACTCTGGCTTGCTATTATCAAGCCCTCCAATTCCTCTAGAAGACAGCAGGCCTTGCCTCTAACTAAACATGTATAGAACCAGGGAGGTTGTGACATGAAAGCAAAATGCCTGTTGCAGGTAAGTCCTATGGGTCTGGCTAAAGGGGAAAGAGCTGCAGACCAATATCTGATTTCACAGGGGAAACAAAATGCAGAATGTTATACGTGGCTGTATTTATGGCAGTTTTATTTAGACAGTTTGGACAAAAGTCATTTTTTTCTTCCTCCCAGTCATTCTGTTCTCATCTTGCAGCATCCTGCTAACAGTACGGTAAATGAAATGTACAGGTTGCAAACGCTGAACTTTGCTGCCCCCTTCTGCACTACTCATCACATACAGTTAAAAACTTAAGGTTTTTGAAGAGAGATTGGGGAAAAGATGGCTTGTTGTATTTCTCTCTCTCTCTCTCTCCGATTTCTAATTGTGGGCAGTGAACATTCAACCAATTTGCTTGCAGAGTGTCTGTTTTCCTGTGAATAATTTGCTTACCTACCCAAACTTTCCAATGCATTTTCCCATCACTATCTAAACAGCAAAAAAACCCACATTGTTTTTAAGTGGATTTGTTACGCTAGGGCAAAAGAGCTTTTTCACCTTTAAATGTGCAAACCGGAGGCATTCCTATTTGGGATGACAGGAGTGGAAATATTAAAAATGGACCAGAAACTGTTTATGTATGCTACAACAGCAGTGAGAACTTTATAAGTGCAAAAGTGGAAACAGCAAGAATTACCGACGGTAGATGAATGGATGGCAGATGAAGATGATAAACTACGCAGAATTGGCAAAGCTGATGGGGAAAATCCGAAACCAGAGTGACCAAACATTCCAGAGACACTGGAGTAAATTCATTTAATATATAGGCAATCACTGTAAACATATAAAGACACTAGCTGGACTGAGATAAACTTCACAACGTTTAATAGAATAAATTTTCTACTTGTGCTTTAAGTTTTAAATAATTCAACTTTAATGTAGAATTTTGAAGGTATAAATGTGTGACTTTAAGATATTTTCTAGAAAAACCAGGTGACGGAATGGAGGGAAGTCAAAAGCTCGGCAGAGCTAAACATTTGTAAAAGGTGATATGATGTTACAATATTGTTAAAAATAGAAAATTTATAAAAATATATTAAAAATAATAATAATAATAAAATAAAATGCTCCCAGGAGAGAGAGAGAGAGAGAGAGAGAGAGAGAGAGAGAGAGAGAGAGAAATTAAATGTGCAAACCTTGAGTTTCAGCATGTGGTTGAATCCCACATTGCTACGAAACTCAGCTTTCTGGCAGGCAAAGACTATATCTGACACATTACACAAGACACAACGAGTACGCAAGCAATAGAACACTTGCCCATTTCTTTCTCAGAAGCAGGCCACAAAGTATAGCCCAAAATACTTAAATCATCTCTACAAACCAACAAGCTAGCTTATTAGAAAGTGGGGTATCTTTTTACTTCTGGCAGGCAACCATACAGAACCACAAACCTTGCTTCCTAGTGGAGGCGCAACATTGCGGCAGAGAACAAGCAAAGCACATGTGGAGACCTTGGTTGTGGGTGTTCTGCTATGTCCCTCCCCACATCAGAATGAGCCTTTGAGGGTGCTAAGAGAAGAGCAGCGGCCAGAAAAGTGTGTTTCAAGCTAAATTTACTATCGTTACTATTTTCTATAATATATAATCAAATCTGTACAGTTGATTTGAGTTTAACACTATAGTGCCATTATAGTGGCACTATAGTAGCACCAGGCAGAGGGCCTTCTCGGTAGTGGCACCCGCCCTGTGGAACACCCTCCCACCGGATGTCTATTTCTTTGACTTTTCCAACTATCTGACTTTTAGAAGATATCTGAAGGGAAGTTTTTAATATTTGATGAATTATTATATTTTAATATTTTGCTGGAAGCTGCCCAGAATGGTTGGGGAAACTCTGGAACAAATTACAGTGGTACCTCAGGTTAAGTACTGAATTTGTTCCGGAGGTCCGTTCTTAACCTGAAACTGTTCTGAACCTGAAGCACCACTTTAGCTAATGGGGCCTCCTGCTGCTGCCACGCCGCTGGAGCATGATTTCTGTTCTCATCCTGAAGCAAAGTTCTTAACCCGAGGTACTATTTCTGGGTTAGCGGAGTCTGTAACCTGACGCGTATGTAACCTGAAGCATATGTAACCTGAGGTACCACTGTAAGTACTTAACCCGAGGTACCACTGTAAATAAATAAATAATAATAATAATAATAATGTATAACAGGAGAAAATTTTGATCTCTCACACATTTGTCTGATTTTCAGCTCTGCTTCCTAACATAAGAAGATACAAGACTTGAAGACAAAAGTTGGGAGGTTAGGTAACCCTAACTCCTGAAGTACTGTGTGGTACCTCAGTGATCCGAACATCAAAAACAATGCTGCAGAGAAGGGTCTACTAAACGCAAGAGAAATGTCTCTGAGCTTACCATACAATAATGCCACCATAGGGTGATGTGGGAACTGGGGAAAGCAAACATCAGAGATGTAGGGTGTTTGCAATCAACTTTGAAAAGTGTCCATCACAAAAACTCTTATTTTTCTGCAGTTTGGCAGCTTCCTTACCCATGAACACTTTTCTCATGTTTGTAGTTTTCCACCCATTTCTCCACGAAACAATTCTTAGTTTACCCATCCCAAAACTTTTAACAGCTGAAATTTCAGGAAAACAAATCCTTCTGAGATTTGGCACGATTCATTACAAGGGGCAGCATTGCTTGCAAAATGCATCCAAACCTGCCTCAAAATAATTATATTTCTTTTTTTAAAAAAACAGAAACACCAAAAAACTTTTAAAAGGTACCCATTACAAAAGCCCCCAGACCTATTTGCCTGCGATGTGGCACACTTTAGCAGCTCTGGAGAGACTAATAATGCCTGAATGTTTCATCATCTTCTGACAAAAGGATAAGAATTAAGTTGTACCTGTTTTTTGTCTCTCAATGAAGCAGACTCTGGTAAACCTGGAGCCAAATTTGATGGCCTACAAAGCGCCTCAGACCAAACTGCTTCAATGGGGTTTGAACTCGTTTGTAGAAAGCTGAGATGCTGCCTCCATTCAGCTGCCATGAGCCATAAACTATATTGCTACCACCAAAAAACCCGACCTCTTTATCTTATTAAAAATACAGACTACTACTAACCTCAGTTCATCTGTGGGCTATATGCCTCTGAAGAAAAGGGATTCGGCCTAGTCTGTTGCATTGCCTAACCTAACCCACCCACACTCCCCATATTCAGCTGTGTCTCTCCAAAGACAAATCTGCCATTGCTGTGCTAGAAGCCCAGAGCCATTAACAGCTGCTCCTCATCTCAATTTTACATACTCATCATTTCAGCTCCTTTTCCAGCACAGGGCTATAGTGGCAGGTGAAGCCACTTCTGGCAGAATTTCCTGGCTTCTGGAAAACCTGGATCTTGGACCCACCAGATCTCCATCTTCCCTTCCTGTCCACTGCTATACTAATAGCTCACACAGCCCCTCCTGCCTGTAGGTTGTTATGTGAGGTTTTGCCCCAGCTCTAGTTGTTCATTGGTCTTCCTTTTTCTTAAGCTCTAAGCCAGGCACCCCCCAACCTGCGGCCTTCCAGATGGTTTGGCCTACAACTCCCATGATCCCTAGCTAACAGGACCGGTGGTCAGGGATGATGGGAGTTGTAGTCCAAAACATTTGGAGGGCCGAAGCTTGGGGATGCCTGCTTTAAACCCTTCCCCAGCCATTAATTGCTTTGCTGGCTGTTGTTGCCACTGTTTCACGTCTTTAAGGAATTGTGACTTTTAACCAGACCCCACCCAAGCCTTTATCCACCAACCCTGGCCATATGCTGGGGGAGGGGGGGAGCTGTTCTGCCTGGAACAAACCCACCTACATAGTGTAAATCAACCTGCTAAATTAATCTCCCCACATCCATACCTTCATGTACGATTGAGGCCTTGGTGTTCCTAATGCTTGACTAGAAGGGAAAATGTCACCTGCTTCCTCCCACATTTAAGTTCTACATGCTACACCTGACAGAATTTCATTTTCAGGCAATGCTTAAAGATACAGACGTACCTCAGGTTTGGCCAGCCTATGAGCTCCTGGTTCAGTATCCTTCAGCTTCCCCCACTTCCTTCTGCTCATCACCTCAGGGCTTCTCATGACCTTGGTTCCTATGCCAGACTTTGCCCAAGCCTGTTAAAACTTTAGTTTCTCCTCCCTAACTTTGAGACTTTGCAGCCTAGTTTCCTCAGGCCTCTGCTTTTAGGTGCATGGTATATTTGCCTACTGTTCCTTTCTTCCTTCAGCCACCCTGAAAGGCCCAGCCTCTCTGTTGTCCTTCCCATCAGCAGCATACTCCTTGCTGTCTTGTGGGTTTCCTACAACCATCGCCTCCAAATAGTCCCTCCTCAACCTGCTGACTCCTTTGCCATTCTTCTCCACCTGCCCAACTGCGCCCTACACCCACAGACCCACGTTTCTTGATCGACTGCCAACTCTACATTTTTCTATCAGGCACCTGCCCAGGCTTCCTGGATTTAGCTTCCTTACCTTTTTCCACGCATCTTTCCGGTCATTCTTCTTACTTCAGGACCACTAAGAGGCAGGTACAGAGGCCCCAAACTGAGCTTTCTTTAAAAAAATAGATGTGTCTCTCGTCTTCCTAGAAATGTAGCTCTGCTTCGGCCTTTTACCATTCTGCTCCATGTGCTTGCAGCAGTCAGTTTTGTCATGGTTAACAGTATTTCATATTTATAGGTTCCAGACTTTGTGTGCATATATATTGTAAAATGATGTTGGGGATAGGGAAACCCCATAACCTTCCTTCGCTGCACGTAACATCTTTTTGCCATTCCCTTCTAATCACTGGAGTAAAGTTGGGAGAAAACAACTAAAAGCAGCAGACTCCAATAAGTGTTTTGTTCCCACGCCTAGTGCACTTTTAATATAAGGGTAGCCCCACTCCCTGCTTGATGTATCACATGTATAAATTCAATCCATATTTGGCTAGATTTTATTCGGCCTTTTTCTGCCAGTTAACCATCGCCCACCTCATCTTCATTTCTCTCTGATCATCCATGGACTTCTCTCCTCACTTTCAGGCTGTCCATTTTCATTCAGCCGTAAACCTCCGATGCTTTTATTAATAAAGTCACATGTTCTCTGGTGCAAATGGTTCTGCTCTACGTAAGGAGTGGAACACAGGTGGGAACTAGCTTGAGGGCCGTATTGTGTACAGTGGTACCTCGGGTTAAGTACTTAAATTTGTTCTGGAGGTCCATTCTTAACCTGAAACTGTTCTGAACCTGAAGCACCACTTTAGCTAATGGGGCCTCCCACTGCGGGAGCACGATTTTTGTTCTCATCCTGAAGCAAAGTTCTTAACCCGAGGTACTATTTCTGGGTTAGCAGAGTCTGTAACCTGAAGCGTATGTAACCCGAGGTACCACTGTACCAGGCAACCTTTCAAGGGCTATATGACAGAGTGGGGCGGAGAAATAAACGTAAATTTTGCCATTGTACAATACAGGCCTCTCCATCTAGAGAAGCAAGAGACATTATTCATAATAGAAATATACAGTCCTGTCAGGCAAAAACACCTGGAGTCCAAAGTAGGACCAGTGAAGGGTGAAGCCTAGGAAAAGGTTACAACAGTCAGGCATTTGCCCCTAGGCTTGACATTCCCCATCAGCTGGGCAGTCACCTCCAAGAGGCCAGTGGTTCCACTATTCGCTTCACTGCAGAAAATGTGGGTTCTCTAATGGAATGAGGCCTGTAAGTTGATAACAAAGTCCCTTGTCTAGACGATGCACTTTGCATGCACTTTCATGTGAAATATATAGTTTATATCATATTTGATGGGTATACTTGAGTTATAGCAAGGAGGTGCTGTACAATTTTTGCAACTGCCTCCCATCTTTGCCCTATAAGGTCCTTGCTGCTTGTCAAAAAGTCGAGCCACTTTTGTCCCTAAGAAAGGTAAAATGCTCGAGGGCTCATACTTACGGAAAAGCCATTTAAGTCAGATTGCACAGATATGTAGCATACAATTAATATAGTCAATTCCTATAACAAGGGCTGGCAGATACCTAAAACCACCAGAGCATGTTGCTTCGGCCACATCATCAATTCATCCTTTTTTCATTTACAATCTCTGTAGCTCGGATGTGCCATAAAGAGGTTTAAGATTTCTCTCCTGTGACCCCCAGGTGGCAGCAAAGAAAGATCTCCTGCTATCAGGCTTTGAGAAGACTAACGTTTAGAGGCACCCTGATGATGAAAAGGCATATCTTCAATGCCCAAGTTAACCTATAGGAGAATATTCTTCCCAAATCTCCCTATATCCATTGCTAATCAGCAGACCTTCTAATGATAGCAAGCTAGTTAATGGATCATCACACCTACTTGTAGTTTGGACTGGGCAACCTGGGATGGGGCGCTGGGTGGATCTTTGCACCCCAGGGTCACATATACTTAAGACAGCCCTGGTGAGGGAAGCACCAGAAGGACCTCAGAGCTGGATCTGGGCTGAACAATGGGGGTGGAGACGCTCCTTCTCAATTTCCAGGGACAGTCTTTGTCCTTTTCAGCGAAAGTCACCTCAAATTTCATCTAGTGTATTTCCTTCCCCCACCTCTTCCGTAGACCATGCACACACGCCAACAAGGGTGCACAAGGTTGTATCGCAATTTAAAATAAAACAAGAGCTGTTCGACAGTGGAATTTGCTGCCAAGGAGTGTGGTGGAGTCTCCTTCTTTGGAGGTCTTTAAGCAGAGGCTTGACAACCATATGTCAGGAGTGCTCTGATGGTGTTTCCTGCTTGGCAGGGGGTTATCTCACAGCAGCCCAGTTGTTCGCAAGGCAGAAATAAGCTTGCAGGCTCAGCAGATTTTGCCTACAATAAAAAGTCACCTAGAGTATTTCCCTCCTGCCTCTCATCCCCTCCATCCCACCATTTCTTGGAATGCTGCCAGTGTTTTGGAAAGCTGCTGTGTTCTGTTCCAGAGATCTATACAGATACTTAACTGCAAACCCATAAATATTTGAAGGAGGAAGGGGAGAATACTGTATATGTGTGTACACACACACACACACGAATCACATCAGCACTGGATATTTGTGAGGACTGTACATTTGTTTTAATAGCTGAAAACATTTACACGGTTAACTGTAGAAACAGCAGGTTCATGAAGCATTTTCCTCATTTTTGTCAAAAACATTCAAATAAAACCCGATCCAAATGGAACATGAAAAACACGAAAGCTAATATGGAGCCAAGGAGGAGCTGAGGGTTGCTATCATTAACAACAAAATTCCAAAAAGGAAACAGAAACACTGAATGAGGGAAGTTTAAGTATGCCATATAGCAAAACATGAAGTGATGCAGAGCAGGTAAGTCCCTACAACAACCAAGTCCTTGAACATGGGAGCAATTCAGACATGAAATGCGGGCAGAAAGCAGTGAAACATCTCAGAAGAATGAACAAAACAGTGGGAGCTATTCTGGGCTTGCAAGGCATCAAGTACCCCCATAAGTGCCAATGGGAAGTTAGGCTGCTTCAAGTCTATGGGTAGCTACAAGATATTCTGCCACTGCATCCTGGGTGCTTTGAGAAACCCATAAATTCATATAAAAGATGCCATCTTTATATATGCCAGCAATCACCGCTAGCCTGCAAACTCAAACTTTAGTAAGTCACGTATGTTGAACCTGCTCTTTCCAGGGCTACAATGTCAACTGTCCATTCCTAATCAATTCAGAAGAAAAGGCAATATTTAATTTTGTGCTCTGGAACCATTTCCAGCTTACTGTTTATTACAGCAACAGAGCTCAGATAAAGCCATACCTAGGAGCCTGGATTTCTGGCTTCCTACAGCAAGAAACAGTGTACAAAGATACATGATGCAGGCTGACAACAGTCTCTGCTCTTTGTGGAGCTAGTACAGTTTTAGAGTCTTTGCCCCTTTCTTTGAGCAAAGCAAAGCCACTCTTCACTTCACCGGCAAGCCCCTGGGAGCTTAGCTGTTTTCCCCTCTCTGCACCAACCACCACAGGATGAATTCTGTGTGACTATGCGAAAGCAGTGCTTCCAAGGCAGTGAAATGTGCTCAGCTACAAAACTCATAAGGGACTGGTGGGTGGCTACATGAGGATGGACAAGCTGCAAAATAGATACAACATACACACAAAGGCTATGAGATTACGATACTCTCCAAACTGCTTTGTTAGCATCCCTGAGCCCTGCTGTCATCCGAGGGGGGGCAAGCGCCACGTATTCCTGTGTGAGGACAATTGTGAACCCAAGCTACGGTCCTCCCCTCTGTGTCGAGATGAGGTTTCTGGTGGCTTTTCAGATCCGCACCTGAAATCAGTTTCATTCTCTCTTCTGCACGTTAACCAGCTCCAACGAGAGGGGAAACAGATCCCGGTAGCGACCTAGGGAAAGCACAGACTGAGCAGAGACACTTCCCTTGGAAGTGGGTTAGTGGGGCATGGCTGTTATCCTCATGCTCTGGGAGGCTATGGGGTATGTCACCATGGGGGTGGTGGCGTGGCTCATGGTGATGCCCCCCAGTGGCTGAGCCATGGACACGGCCACAGGCGCTACGGATACGGCCACAGGAGCCATGGAGACTGGTGGAGCCATCCCCTGGGCAATGGTCTGAGCCAGCGCTGCTGACAGCGGGGTGATTTCTGGGTTCATGGGAGGCGCTGCGTTGCTAGGGGGAGCTGCCTGAGCTCCAGCTGGAGCCACCAAATCCTGCTGGGACACAGGCCGTGGCTGCAGAGCCTTGGCTGCTCAGGGTGGTGTGAGTCTGGGCAATGCTGTGGTTGTAGTTGGTGACGGTGCCCACGGTGGGTGCCAGAGTCTGCTCAGTAGCCGGGGCCGTGGTGCTGAGAGTTATCACCTTGGCCTGGTTGCGG